TTAGAGTCCAAAGGGTTGATGTTAGGGTTAAAACTTTGACAATAAATATAATCATAGAATAACACTGACAACCTTAGCACTCTGAACCACTGCAGTAGTGGTCTGCTTTTTATCAGTGCATATCGCACTCTTTAAAACAGGTTGCAAATGATACATACCACAATGTTTCTGTAAATCTGTATAGCTGCACGTACATCCTGCCAGTCTGGATGGCCCTCCTTGTAAGAAAACAGAAAATGATTTTATTTTGGAAACATAAAAATTAACCTTGTATCTAAAAGATCAGGAAATAAATACTAAGATGAGGAAAAAAAAGCAAGATTGTGTATGGGTATGATTTGGAGAAATTTTGTTATTCCATTTCCAATAATTTTAATGTAGATAGATTAATTTGTGCCCCTACAAATTTTGACAACCTTTTAAATAAGTTATTGAACAATCTCATTGCTGCACATGCTCCATTCAATACGTTCCACTAGAAACGTGCAAGACAAGTACCATCTGCATGTGCAATCACTTGTGAAAATCTGGGTAGAGATTGAAAATAAATTCTGAGGTGGTTTGGATTTTTTCTACATACCTCAGTGTGTTTCTCAAATTCACTCATCTCAGTGTGTTTCTAAAATTCGCTTATCTCAGTGTTTCTCAAATTCGCTTATCTCAGTGTGTTTCTCAATTTCGCTTATCTCAGTGTGTTTCTCTAATTCGCTTATCTCAGTGTGTTTCTCTAATTCACTTACCTCAGTGTGTTTCTCTAATTCGCTAAGTATTGATGGATATTTGTCTAGTCTTCTAAACGGCATACTTAGTGATGCAGTCAGCGTCATTCTTCCTGGACTTGGTGCCCCTTGATTTTCCATAAACTTATCCAGTTTTTCACTAAAAATAGTAAACATTTAGAATTACAGACATATAGCAGCAAAGAAAGTAAATGTACAAAACAGAAAATATATAGAAATTGTATCACTGTGGGAAAAAGTCAAACTTACCTGAGATCTTCTGCATTGATAACTGTGACAGTTTTAGGATGATTGCTGCAATACGCGGTGTAAAGTGTTTGTAATTGGGGTGCTCCTTTCATATAACATGCACCAACTCTTTGTTGCCGATCTCCACTGAAAACACAATCAAATAAAGAAATATTAACATGTATACCACTCTTACAAATGACAGGACATCGGTGCTATCAATAACCATAGATTACTGTATAATAGAAGTAAAGTCAGATGTCATATTTGGTATACGCAATCACACTGTAACGTCATATGTTTACATTTTAGCCAACCAGCATGCAAAAGTCTGATAACAAATATCACTGATCAACACAGGCCTAAGATCTGCAACAATAACATTGCCCATAAGTTGTTTTATTTAACAGAAACATATACATGTATATTTAATAACAGCAGCAGTGAACAAAGCCTTTATTTCATCTTTGAGTTTAAATGACTGGTTCTCGCCAACCAGTCACTGCACATCCAAGCTGAATGTGTGACAGTGTGACGGCACATACCACTCGTCTTCAGCAGATGGAGCATTTTTGGAATTTGTATTTATGGCTATGGAATGGTGCTTCTAATTGAACAACTATGTTACTCTGATTTAGTCATTTTCAAAATGTTTGCTGAATTTGTTTGATGCAAAAATCTTTTCTCATGTCGCAATGCACAAAAGGAAAAATTTGGCAAATGATCATATTCAAGATACTGAGAAAATCTTAAATGTATTGCACATACTCTTTCACAAATATTCCCAATAAACTATTCGGTTCATGCAGAAATTAATCAATAATACAGTAGTAATGTTTAACCACTTACGAAGCAAATTCTTCCACTTCACGTAACAACGACTGTTGAAAGGAATAAATTTCTTCTAAATTACTGCATAATATTGAATACTCCATGGGAGTTAAACTGAAACGAGAGCATTAAATGACTGCCATTAATCATTATATCATATCTGTCTACGCGCCACTTAAATCTCACACACAACAAGAATCGCATGCATCATGACTCTGACAAACTTGGAGTAAACTGTGACCAGTATTATGGTTAAAAAAATTCAAATATAATTATAGTAATTTAATATGCAGGAGTGTTGTCTTATTTTACACTGTAATACATGTCTTATAGTAAAAGAATAGAAAGATGATGTATTTCAGTTTCAGAAGGTTTCTATGGAACACAATCATCTTGTCTTTTTTATTTGCATTCTAATTTGTTTTAATTATATGAATATAATTAACTATAAGTAGATATGACAGTTGATATTTTGACTTTTCTAAAAATACAAAACAACAAAATACTGATCAATTATTCTGTTCAATTTAGATAAAATAAGATCCTGTAGAGCCAAACCAAATCCTAATACCGACCACCATTACATAATTACCCAGTAACTGGAGATGTTTGAAAATGATATGGATATGAACTACGTGTATGGTATGTGTTATGTTTAAGTATAACATGGATTAAGACAGGACACTTTGGCTGTCTGTGACCTTTGAACCTAGCAGATGCAAAAAGGAATGCTGCAATATTACAGTATGTTACCACAATGGTTTGCAAATTTTGTGAATCATTTTTCTGAGTCGATATTCAATTTTGTCTATTTTCTATAAAACTTTTAGCCAAGACCAGTAATTGAGAAGAAATCAAGTCCTTTGGATCCAAAATTAACAACAAAAATTTTGAAAAACATATAAATATATACCATATATAATGTTGGTGGGAAAATGATTGCTTTCAAAGAGTTAGACATGGAGTCACTGGGACATTCACAAAATGTTCTTGTGGCAACAATTTAACTGTTTACTGCATGTCTAGATGAGTTTTGATTTAAACCATGCTGATATCACCCCAGCCAGACAATGATTACTTACATATTGCTGCTTTCTAGTGGTCTGAGATACTTGGAGAGTAATGTCTGTAATTCATTTGTAAACTGTCTTTCAAATTCAACAATATTTTGGATCACCTGTACAATAAAATAATATTGTAAAACACTAAGAATAGTATGAATTATGCAAATCAGCTACTTAATATTCACATATAATGTTACTCTTGATATTCCTTTGATCAATAGAGAGTATTCTCTTCAACACATCCTGCAACCCTGGCATGTACTCTAAGATATATCACCTTTAAAGGTCCATGTCTTGTGGTCTGGTAAACAAGACAAACCTACATTTGTATATGTATATGTGCTGTGTGTACACATATGCAAATCAGCCACTTAATATGCACATATACTTTTTTTTTCTTTTCCCATAATGAATACATGGTAGTCTCTCTCTAGTAGATTCCTCTTGCCAATAGCAGCTCTATTTAAAAAGGCAACATTGTGATCTGCCATGTTCGATACAAGTCCCTTATGATGTATAAAAACACTTGTAAAATAATATTTGCACACAGCACAGCAACCACTACCCTGTACCAAATATGTTTTAATTTTACCTGTGTGTGATATTTGGAAGCTTTTGATTCTCTGCTCTGTTCTAAGGTAAATGGTGTAGGTGACTGTGACTTCTGTACAGGTGATCGTGCCTGACTTAACGAATCTGTAATATATAAAAAATATCATGGTGAGAAATAGAACTTAATACAATGATGCGAAACTTGAAAAAGTATTTTACCAGAACACTAAAACCTAAAACTTGTTAAACAGCCAATTTAATAACTAATTGGATAAAATAATGTAGTGAATAAACAAATATCCATACATGTACAATAATGAATCATAATGCATTCTTCATCAAAGATGCTGTCCCAAAAGTTTTTAGTTCAGAAAAAAATAAATCATTTCTAATTCTCCATGTTGATATATATATATATGGTACCATTGAACAATTAAATTTTCACAACTTGCAATTTTGATGATTTAGATGATACAGGCAGATACAGACATGGGAGACATTTTGCACAAGTTAATGCAACAAACTGTCTCATTGAAATATTCAGTAATATAAAATTCCATTATTTTCTCAAAGTTTCAAAATGAGTGAACAGTTGTTTCCCATAAAATGTTGTAATATGTATGGATAGTAAAGACGTGTTTTGTCTTTGTAAAATGTGCTCATCTCCAAATCTGATCACTTATATATGTCCATGTAAGAATTGTGATCATTAAATTATAGAACAGGAAGTTTGGATTCTGTTTTCTTAAATGTGACCAGTCAAGTTTAGCAATCAAATGACATAAAGATTGGTGAGATTTCATTTTCTCTATCTTAGGGATTTATCAGTATGTGAATACAGCTCAAATTATAAAACAGGTTGGTATAATATATTAATGTATGGTATGTATGTATTATAATAGAAAAATGATTCAACATCTATTTTTGAACAATGTGAAACTTTCAACAACTTGAGTTCATTTTTCAAAGATACATGCAAGGCAGAATTGCCAAAAAAATGTTTCTTTTGTCCATTCTGTCTATCAATAAGACTGAATATAACAAACAGGATGTCAAACTATTGACTGTTAACAATACAACAAATGTTTATATACGATGCTAGTTACACTGCAAGGTACGGCTAACTTTGTCAAAGATTATTAGAGTGTGAAGGGTCAAGAAAGGACAACAGTTAAACATATTTCTCTCAAGGACAGGTGATGCACTCTGCCTGACATAACATCCTACCCTATCAACCACAACATGTTGTATATTG